TGTTTGGTTGGTTTTGTTTTTGCTTTTTCAGGACAGGGTGGTGGTGTCACACACCTTTAGTCCCAACACTTGGGAGGCAGAGGCAGGTGCACGTCTATGCGTTTGAGGCCAGCCTAGTCTACAGAGTGAGCTCCAGGACAGTTACAGCTATACAGAGAAACCCTGTCTCAAGCCCCATGCCCATCCACCACCACCCCCTCCCCCCGAAAAGAGAAACACAGAGACAGGGTCTCTTTCTAATTTTGGCTACAGGCTGGCCTCACATTCACAGAGATTTGTCTCCCTCTGTGTCTAGACTGTGGGGTTAAAGGCGTGTGCCAATATGTGTAAGTTACAAGATTCTTATCTGTGGGGCTTCTTTTTTAATTTCTATTTTATTTACAGTCTCATTTTTTTTTTCAGGCTTGTCTGTAGCATACTTATTAGGAGAAAGACAATAAGAATGCTGAAATTGAAAAAAAATAAAGAACTAAAAATATGAGTGAGTTATTTAGTGGAAATCAGATCTGAAGTGTTGGTATCGGGTAGTTCATGGTGACACTTGGTACTGTGTATTTGGCTCTAAGTTTAGATGTTCTTTGTTGAGTTTTTTTACTTTGTCCTTTTAACTAAGAGACAGCTTCTTGTTTGCTTGACTTAGGGAATATGTGTGCCAACTGGTGCACAGCTCTGGGGTCAAGTGACCTGTCTGAAGAATGTCCCAGGCCTTACCTCAACAGCGAAGAGGAAGGAGGGCATGCGTTATAACATGTGACTGCACAGCCTTGTTCTTGCTGCTGAGTTTCTGGTCCAACTGCAGGGCACCAAAGTGTCAGACTTTATCTTATGACCCAGTAAAGCCTCCTGCTAGGGTCTTCTCTCAGACTGGAGAGGATTATCTTTCTAAAACAGAATTGCAATGTGTCACTTCTGCATGAAGGCAGATACAGACATCTGATGCTATTGTATCTTCAGCTTTATGATTCAAAATTGTAAAGTATGGGACCAATTGAAGGAAAATAGATAAAACTATACAGATTTTTTCTATGAAGTATTGGTCTTGTAGAATAACACTCCATGAAAAATGGTTTGCTTTTGAATAAGTGACATCAAGGACTTGGTGCTGAGCTGGCTGTGGTGGTGCACACCTGTGATTCCAGCACCTATGGGGCTGAAGCAGCAGGGAGCAGAGTTAGCGGCCAGCCTGGGCTACACTGTGAGACCTTGTATCAAAAGAGTAAAGGGCTTGGGGGAGGTGACACTGTGTCCCCCAGAAATAATAGATACGTATTTCTTTTAGTAGTTACACTTTTTAAGTATAACATTTTCCTGGTAAACAAAATTTCTCATAGATATTTTTTTCCTCCCTTCTCTGGTTTGACAGCTTCATAAAAGTAATCTAGTAGTCAAGTAGGTGAGGCATTGAACTCTGATTAAATCATTATGTTCTTTTTTTCTTTGCCAGTGCTGAGTGTGAAAATAGGGTATGGTGTATGTGAGGTGAGACGTCATTGGTCAGCAAGCTGCACCCACAGCCCAAAAGATTACTTTATCCCAGTAACAGTGCTGTCAAGCCAGTGGAAAGACTTTCTGTTCTTTTAAACCGAGTTCTTTTTTCAACTGCTTGTTGCCTATTTTCAAGAAAGCTCCTGGCTCTTGTATCATTTTAGGCCTCAAGAAATCAATAAAGAAGAACTCGAGGGAAATAGCATGAGGTGCGGTAGAAAGCTTGCCAAAGATGGTGAAGTAAGTATGGCTCTGGCCTTTATGTTCTCAGCTTGCTGAGGAAATTCTCTCAGGCTCCTTTCTTTACTTTTATGTGTTTGCAGTTTTTCCTAATAAGATATTTAAAGGTGGGTTCACTGTGGCACATGTGCTATCTCAAAAATCATTAACCACATGCTCTTTTTAAAGTAGGTTAAGCCTAAGAGAGTAGACGCCTGGGACTCCTGATTCCTAGAGTGTGCTTGTATTTCTTTTTTCTGCAGCTTGGTGTCCTGAACAAGGTATAGCCACCATGCTTAGTAGTTACTCAGCCTTGTGTGAGACCTTCACACTTGGATTTAAAGTCCAGATGAGAGGCTTGAGAGGGTCCCTGTGCAGTACAGAAATGAGATAGATTATGTGGGAGGTGTTGAATAGTCTGGTGAGGTTCTGTTTAACAGTTACCCTAAGTCACCTGTCCCCTTGGAATGCTCGCCACACCAAGAACTACCTTTGTTCCTTACGTGGAACAAATTGCAAGTGCATAAGGGAAAGAAGGAATGTTTACCCTGCTGTCTCCAGAGAACCTGTCTCTAGATTGCTCTAAAAGCTGGCTATGGTCCATTCAGCTGATTGTGCAGCCTACCTGTCATTATTTCCACCTTCAGATGCCAGCCTAGTTTTCACCTGGTTTGTTTGGTCCCAAAGAACGTTTACCTCACTTTCACTTTAAAGGTTATTTCATGCTTGTGTTCAGGATTATGGTATGACAAAGAAGAGGCTGAGTTCTCCATCCCTCATCTTGTTCTTCATCCCTCAGTGCAGGGCAGCTCCTTCAAAGCCGATGCCTTGTGTGTGTGTCACCGCCTGCAGGTCTCCTGCCACTGTCCCCCTTGGTCCCTCTTCCTCACTGCTCTTGTATCTGTGTCACAGCCTTCTTTCCCCAGTGATCTTGCCTTCAGCCCTCCCAGGGCATGCACTCCCACTGATGGCATCATCTTCAGTAATCTCCATTTCAAGTCTCCCATTTATAACATCCGCTTCTCCTTTCTCTTCCTAGCTCTCTATTCTAGGCCTTAAACACTGTTTTTACCCCACTGAGATGTACAGTTTGATCTTTCTTTCCTTTTACTCCCTACTTCTTTACTAGACTTATATTTTGTTCTATCTTAAAACCACCCCCTTGTTTATATCCATCCTTTCCCCCTTTGACGCTGTCTGACTCATCAGGCTAACTCCCACGTTAGCAAGCAGCAAGTCCCAAATCTTTTTTTTTTTTTTTTTTTTTTTTTTTAATGGTGGTGGGATTTGAATGGTTTCTCTGTGTAGTCCTGGCTGTCCTGGACTCACTTTGTAGACCAGGCTGGCCTCGAACTCACAGTGATCCTCCAGCCTCTGCTTCCCACAGTGATGGGATCACAGGCATGTGCCACCATACCCGGCTAAGTCCCAATTCTTATTGACTCTGAATAAATATCTAAATTAGGCTGAAATTTGTTTAGAGATCTACCTCAGTTATGTTTTCTATTGCCATGGTAAACACCATGACTAAAAGCAACTTGGGGAGGAAAGTGTTCATTATTATTATTGTAGATTATAGTCCCATCATTGAAAGAGGTCAGGGCAGGAACCTGGAGGCAGGAGCTGATGCAGAGGCCATGGAGGGGAGCTGCCCATGTTTGTTCATCATGGCTTGCTTATACCATCTAGGCCCCCAACCCAGGGATGGCACCACCCACAATAGGCTCTACCCTTCCCACATCAATCATTAATCCAAAAAACAAAAAACTAAAAAAAAATTCCACACAGGCCAATTTGGTGTGGGCATTTTCTCAGTTGAGTTTCACTCTCAAATGACTGTAGTGTGTGTCAAGTCAATGTAGAACTAGCCAGGACAAGGTCAGAGACAGGCACCTTTCCCAATGGGTTTTCCTTCAATGTTGTAACCATGAACCCGGGTCTGTGTTGCTTCATGGAAACCACCTTTCTTCCTGTCTGAAGTGACTCTGTCTTCTCACCTTGTGACTGCTGTGCTCCTTATCTGACACTCGGGTGTTGCTTTGCCTTTCACCTTTCACTGTGTGGAGACTGTATATCCTCCATCCAGCAGTCCCCAGTTTTTCTGATCTGCCACTGTGCTGAGCTGTCTGTCCTGTCCTTACCCAACATTTTGGTTCCATCTTTTTTTGAGACAGGGTTTCTCTGTGTACCCCTGGCTGTCCTGGAATTCCTCTGTAGACCAGGCTGGTCTTGAGCTTAGAAATCTGCCTGACTCTGCCTCCCCAGTGCTGGGAATGAAGATGTGCACCACCACCACCACCGCTGCCTTTGATTCCTGTCCATATTTAACACTGCAGAAGCCTGCAGTCCTCACCTCCCTCAAGCACCACTCACACTGCTCTTGTGTTGCATCTACTCAGCTTGTAACTGTGGTCCCTTAGAACTGTTCTTGGCTGCACACTCCCTTCCAGTTGTTGCTCAGTATTTCTTCTGACTCCCCTCCAGTGATTCTCACCACTCCAGTGGAACTGCTACAACAGTGTCAGTAATGACCCATGTTCAAGTGGAGTTTATTCTTGTTGCTCTTCTCAACAGAGACCTTTTTCACTTATTCCCTGTTGGAAAGTTTGGGGGTTTGTTTGTTTTGTTTCCATTTGGCTTCTAGGACAATATGCTCAGCCAGTTGTCTTCCTATTTCATTAGCTCCTCCTTCTAAAGTCTACTAGATTCTTCTCTTCCTTAGCAATACTGCTGTGACTGGATTTCAGTTCTTATTCCCTGTCCATGTGCTCTCATTTATTCCCTTGACATCACAGCCTGTCTGTAACCATGGCTCTTGACTCTCACTATACATCTTTCTCAGATATCTGGAGCATCGCAGAAGGAGAATCCTTCCATTTTCACCAGGATTCTCCATGTGGAACAGGGCCTTTGTCATCTGTCATATATGCTTCAGTACATTTATGTGGATACATAATTCTTCCCTTGCACTCTTGGTGTCCATGAGAAATCCCTCAAGGGTTTGTCCCCACAATGCATTTTATCTTGTCTGCACTAACAATTCAGCCCAGGTCATCATCCGTCCTGCCTAGGCTACTGGGGGATCTTCATAGTATGTCATTTTCAAATATAATATTCCAGCCTACTGCTCCCAATTTCACTCTTACTTTTTTGCATCCTGTCTTCCATATAACAGCCAAAGTAGTCTTTGCAAATATAAGCTAGATCATGCTGCATTCTTTTCTAGACTCTACTCTTAGCCTCCCACACACTTCCTTACCAGAGACTAGACCTTTTGGGCGCCTGACTACCTTTGTGAACCCATCTCTAGTTCTTGTCCCATGGCCTACCCATAGAGTTCTTCTCACCGTCTCTGGTAGGCTAACCATGTTTTCACCAGCAGAGCTTTGGACTTGTTATCTTTCCTCCCCAGCTATATCCCCTGTCTGCTCCTTGGCCCAGCCTCCTCACAAAAAGCTCCTTGGGCTCCTCTACATTTTATTCACCAAACTTCCCAGCTGCAAGTCTCCTGCTCTCTCCTGGCACTCTCCTGACTTTTTCTTCCATCCAGTATATCCCCATCTTCTGTCTACCATGTAAACACTAGAGTATAAGATAAATTCTACTGGAGCAGAAATTTACTGACTGCTGTGCCTCCATTCACTGGAGTTGAGCTTGGTGTGTAACAGGTGCTCAGCAGTCTATAACACTGAGTTACTGTGTAATTGGAGGTGTACCTGCCCTCCCCACACTGCCTTACCTCCCTCTCTGAATAACTGCTATCTGAAGTGGCCTTCATGTGTCCAGTGATTGTTTGAAGCAACCACTTCTGAGCCCAATAACTTCCAGGTACCTGTCAGGTGCCCAAGCTATCCTTACAGAACTTCAGTGGGAGGCCTGATTCCATTGTAGTCCTGCTGAGGGACTACAATGTGAAGGGGTGTATGGCATGAAGCTTGGGGAGTGGGGTCATCAAGGGTGTCTCAAGTGCAGGGCTGGTGTTTTGAGCAGAGCCATATGGGGGAGGCACTGACAGAAAGTGCTTTCCCTTGAAGATACATGAAGTGAAGGAAAGGAAAAAGAAACTTGAACTTTTAATTTATGACTTGTTAACATGATGAACTGAAATGAATCTTTTGTGTCTCTTAGTATTGCTGGCGGTGGACAGGTTTTAATTTCGGCTTTGACCTCCTTGTGACTTACACCAATCGATACATCATTTTCAAACGCAATACACTGAATCAGCCGTGTAGTGGATCTGTCAGCTTACAGCCTCGAAGGAGCATAGCATTTAGGTAGGATGGCACCCCCACTTCCTACACCAGTAGAAGGGGAAGAAATGGAATGAAACCTTGATCACCAATGAGATGTAGGATGCGTAAGACGAAGTATACAGGAAAGTACTGGGAGCTGAGAAAACCCCCCTTTTTTAAACATATCCTAACAAATGAAAACAGAAGGTCTTGAAAGTCAAGGTAAAATGATGGACAACTTGATTCTGGGCTTGAAACTGTCACCATGCAAATGTGCAAACTAGAGTGAGACAGGTGTTCTTGGAAAGCACCTGTTGGACATACTGTGTCCAGCTCTCCCTGAAAACTAAGCTGACGTTCATTTCTTAGACATGGTGCTATAGATTGACAGTAGCAAGTATTTGATTTGCAAAAATCAACTTACAGGGGCTCAAGCATGGTGATGATGTCTTTAAACCTAGGAGACAAGCGCAGGCATGTTTATGAATTTGAGACTAGCCTGGTTTACATATATAAGATCCATGTCAGCCAGTGCTATAAAATAAGACCCTGTCTCCAAAACAGAACCTCAAAGAGATTTTATGTAAGACCTAAAGTTGACATGGTTAGAAGATGACACAAGGCAAAAGCTTCATGACATGTGGTTTGGTGTAGACTTCTCTGATATAATGCCAAAAGCACAGGCATCAAGAGACGTCATCCAAATTGTAAGTGTCTGTGTTAAAATACCAGTGAAAAGGTGGCTGCAGAAGGGGAGAGAACATTTGCAAGCAGACCATATTCCTGATAGGATTAGCATTCAGAGTGCACAGCAGACCAAATACTGCAACAGAAGACTGTCAGGTGTGGGAGCAAAGGCTTGTAGTTCCAGCTAAATTTGAGACTAATTACATAGTCCCAGCTGAAAACGGGGGGTTGGGGGGGGGAGGCAGATGGAGAGATGGCTCCATGGGTAGGAGACTGAAGTTTAGTTTGAAGCCCTCACATGATGGCTCACAACCATCCGTAACTTCAGTTCTAGAGGACTCAGCACCCTCTTTGGACTTCTATAGGCAACAGGCTTATACATAGTGCACATATATAACAAGCAGGCAAAAAAGTTTAAAAAAAACTTATACACACAAAATTCATTTTTATGATTAAAAACATACAGATTAAAAGTGGCTAAGTGGGCTGGGAGATGGCTCAGAGGTTAAGAGTGCTGGCTGCTCTTCCAGAGGTCCTGAGTTCAATTCCTAGCAACCACATGAGATCTGGTGCCCTCTTCTGGTATACAGATGTACATGTAGACAGAACATTGTATATGTAATAAGCAAACAAATAAATCTTAAAAAAAAAAAAGTGGCTAAGTTTGGAGGGGGATGGCTGGAGAGATGGCTCAGTTGTTAAGAGCACTGTCTGCTCTTCCAAAGGTCCTGAGTTCAATTTCCAGCAAGCACATGGTGGCTCACAACCATCTGCCCTGGACTCTAATGTCCTGTTTTGGCCCTCTTCTCGGATGGAGGCCTACATGCAGATAGAACACTCGTATACATAAAATAAATAAATAAACTCTTAAAAAAAAAAAGTGGCCAAGGCTGTGGTAGAGTAGCCATGGAGCATGCACAATGCTCTGGGTTTAGTCTTGCACGTCTAGCAAAACAAAGCACCAAAGAACTTGCATAAGATTTCTCCAAAGGCCGAGAAGGTGGCTTAGTCATTACAGTACTTGCCAGGAAAGCATGGAGCTCACTCCATAGCAGCCTCCTAAGTAGCTGGACTCAGCAGTCCACACCTGTAGGGCCAGCACTTGGTGGAGCAAGACCCAAGGATCCATGGGCCTCTTGTCCAACCTGCTTAGCCAAATGTGTAAGCTCCAGGGTCTCAAATAATAAGGAAGAGTGTGACAAAGGAAAGCACCAAGCCTCTGTTTATACTCATATGCATACATATACCCCACAAACACATACACAAATTCTCCAAAGAAGATAAATGTCTGGTGAACAAAAATAAGCTTAACATCACTGGTCCTTGGGGAAAAGAAATGAAAACCACAATAAAATGCTGTTCCATAATTTTTATCCAAAGCAGAAACAAAGATAGACAAGGCTGTAAAATAATCAGATCCTTGTCCCCTGCTGGTAGCCTTCTGCAAAATGGTACACCCATTACAAGACACTTTGCAGAACCCTAAACAAGTGCTTTATGGCCTAACAGTTCTGCTTCTGGGTACATCCCAAGGAGTCAGAAGCAAGGACTGGATACTTACACTCTCAGGCTTGCAGCAGCACCGCTCATGGTAGCTGGAGGGCAGAAGCAACCTATATGAGCCTTAGCAGATAATTGTATAAACATAAGTTGTAATGCTCACACAGCAGAACACTGGTCATCTTTAAAAAGGAAAGTCCAATGAAGACCCTGTGTCGTAATTAAGTGTCTCACAAAAAGACAACAATCCTGATTCTACTCAGATAAGTTTATCGGGACAGAAAGTAAACTCTTGGGTGCTAGTTCTGGAAGAGGAGAAGGGAAGAGTCACTGCTTTAATGGGGATGGTGTCAGCTGGGTAAGGTAGAAATACACTCGAAGGGTGGATGTGCTGATGCCATTGCAAAGGAATCATATAGTAAGCTTCATGTGTTGTGTCTTGCCACAGTGATGAAAGTTAAAAGTTAAAAGATTCAAAGTTATTTTTTGTTTTGGTTTTTTGAGACAGAGTTTCTCTGTGTAGCCCTAGCTGGCCTTGAGTTCAGAGATACACCTGCCTCTGCCTCCCAAGTGCTGGGGTTAAAGGTGTGCAGCACCACCTTTATATACTAGAACAACAGAAGTTAGAAATCTGAATGGAGCTGATTTACCTTTTTTAAAACTTTTTTTAAATGTAAAAAAAAAAGGGGGGGGTTTCACCTTATGTGGGGCACATATCTGTAATCCTTTTACTCAGTGATTGGAGGCAGGAAGGATCATAGTTCAAGGCCAGTCTGAGCTACATGAGACCTGCTTCTAAAAACCAAGCTATAGAGCTATAGCTGTGGTAGCATGTTTGCGTATCATGCAGGACCCTGAGCCTCAGCTCAGTCCACAGTACTGCCAGTAATAAGGTTTCCAGGGAATACAGAAGGGGAAAGAGGTAGAGTGAAGAAGGCCTTGTTTAGATTAGCCTTCACTTTTAAAATATTGTTTTTAAATTCTAGATTGCGCTTGGCTTCTTTTGACAGTAGTGGAAAACTCATATGCAGCAGAGCAACTGGCTACCAGATACTGACACTTGAAAAGGATCAGGTATGTGTGCTTATGTGCTTGCCACTTTGCTGCATCATGTGTGCTTGGAGTCTGCTTGCTTGCTTGCTGCTTGTTTGTTTGTTTGTTTGTTTGTTTGTTGAGACACGGTTTCTCTGTGTATCATTGGCTGTCCTGGACCTGCTTTGTAGACCAGGCTGTCCTCAAACTCACAGAAATCCACCTGCCTCTGCCTCCCTGAGTGCTGAGATCACAGGTGTGCACCATCATACTGGGCTTAAGATTTATTTATGTTATGTATATGAATGCTCTGTCTGCATGTACACATGCACACCAGAAGAGGGCATCAGATCCCAGTATAGATGGCTGTGAGCCACCATGTGGTTGCTGGGAAGTGAACTCAGGACCTCTGGAAGAGCAGCCAGTGCTCTTAACTGCTGAGCCATCTCTCCAGCCCCTACTTGGAGTCTTTGAAGCTCTTAAATAAAACTGACATTAAAATAATGATATTTTGATGTGAAAATTTGTTGAGTTTTTTTCAAAGAAAAGGTGAAAATACCCTGGTCATTTCTGCAGAGCTCACCTGAGGCCTGCACTGTAGATTGGGTGTTTGTGATCCAAAAATGTGAAACCCAAACTGCTTGTGTTAAAATCTATTTAAAGTGTTTTGAGTATCACAAGGAGAGTTCCACCAGGAAACAGTATTTTCAATGAATACTGCATAAAATTACCTTGAGTGTATATGAAATACAAATGAATTTTATTTACAGTTAAGATATTGTAAAATCTGGAGAAAAAATTTTTTAAATGGTCTCAAGCCTTTCAGATGATGGCTACTCTACCTCTTGAAATGGGATGGGACCACAGAAACAAAAAGATTATCTGAGGGGCAGGAAAGAGTTGGTAGTAAGGAAATAATTACTTTAAATCTTACCTTTACAAGCTGTGCAGGACATATTCTGTGCTGTACATGGGAGTGTTTATTCACACAGTCAGCAGATGACCTGAAAATGCCTGACAGCCCTCCAGTGCTCCTGAGTACAAAGAGTGTTTTCTGAAAGCATATTATATTTGTAGATAATAGACATCTATAATATTCTCCCTCTCATCTCTGAAGTCACTTGTCATGCCAAAGGTCTAAATGCATGTATTCATTTTTAAGTATTAGGATGAGAAAGTAAGCTATGTTCAGAAATGAAACCTAGAGTGCTAAATGATGAGGGTGTTTGTTTCTTATGAAAACCTACCACATTGGAAATGGTGTCCTATCAGCAGAGGGCTTACAGCTCCTGTTCCTTAGATGGAGGAGCCGAAACTGAGAGACTGTGGAGAATCAGTAGCTGTGACCTCACATCTCATCACAGTTCCCACAGTGCACTTCTACTATTGCTGCAGATGTGAAAGGGCTGAGGACAGCTCATGGCCAAGTGCTTGGCTTGTGTGAAATAGTCCCTGAGCTCTATTACAGAGCCACAGAAGAAGAAATAGAAGTAGGCATGGCAGGTAGCACAGGAAAATGTCCACTTCAACAGATACAGAGTTGTCTGTTGTCTGTCCTTCAGTTGTCTGTTTTCCTGCATTGAAATTTCCTGTTGGCTCCTGTTGGTAGGAAATGAGCAAGGTCTGTCTTTGTCTTCTACCTGGAACTTTATAATAAACAGCCACGGCTCACAGCAGCTAGAAAGCTAAAAGTCTCCAGGCCAATGTAACCACACTTGCCATTTTATTCATGTAACACTGGTGCCTACCGCATGCTGAGTTCATTCCTGTGATGGAGGAAATCCACATGAGCCTTTGCTAGTGTAGCCTAGGGTAAGAAAAGCTATGGCATGCTCCCAGAGCACTCTGCGATGTTGAGGGAGAAGCCTTTCCCAAGTTACAGGGTTGAGAATGGGGGTGATGATGACAGTTTAGAAGGAGAACCCCATCCATTTTTCAGGCTTGAAGGTGTGATGACTGACAGCTCAGGGAAAAGTTGTGCTGAAGAAGTGAGCATGAGAAGCCTCAGGTGAGCAGGCTAAGGCCAAGAGAGCTGCTGGTCACTTCAGAACCGAAAAGAAGTGCAGAGAATTCAGTACAGACAGAGCTGGTGCGATAGACTACGGCTGAGGGCTAGCGGCTTTTGGTTGGTCAGTTACGTGTATGTGTTTTCCATGTGTTACAAGTATCTGTGCTGAAAAAACATAGAAACTACTGTAATTTAGATAAATGATGTCAACTCGATAAAGGTTGTCTCAACACTTTCTACAATAATCAGCACATATCCATGCACATTTTTCTATTATTTTTCGTATGTTTCTTTGTTTTAGCCCATACTGGCTCCAACTGGTCACTCTCCTGCCTGAGCCTTCTGATACTGGTATTGCAAGTGTGTACCACTCCTCCAGGCAGCACATGTGTTTTTTAAATGGCCAGCTCGCAGCCCTCTCTGCAGTCCATCCAGGAGATTGTGTACTGTTTAGCCTTTTACTTGATGTGGGCAGTGAATGCAGGGACTGCGGGGGTGCCTCAGGGGGTAAGAGCAGCTGCTGCTCTCTCCAGGTCCCGGCACCCACACTTGCCAGCTCACAACTGCATGGAACTCTAGTTCTAAAGGGTCAGGTGTCCTATTCTGACGCCTGGGGGTCACTGCATACACACGCTGCACTCAGGGACACACAAACATAGGGATCGGTATGTCCTTACAAAGGAAGAAAGGAAGTACACGTTGTTGGCTTTCATTGTCATTTGAGTTTTGGTATAATTGGAGTTTTGTTTGCTATTTGACTTGACTTCCCATATAAATTGATGACTTACATTGTTTCAGCAGCCACCTTTGTCACATGTTGCCAGTCCTTTTTGAAGGTGATCTGCTCCCCTTCCCCTCTAGCGAGTTCTTCTTTTGGAGTGACTCTGATTTTCATTGTGTAGTAGTGTAATAGGACTGTGTAATAGTCACCTGTATTTTTTTCTGCCCCCTTTATTTTATTTTATTTTTTTACATTAGATGATGTTTCTTTACAAGAGGACATGTACTTGGCTTCATTCTAACACACTTTGTGTCAGTGTCTCACCATGTAGCCCTGGCTGTCCAGAAACTCACTATATGTGATGTAATGGTATGTCAGATATGTACTAAGTGAATAAATAACCTGGTGAGATGTTCAGGAGCGAGGATGGCAAATGAAGGCTGTGAGTGAAAGCATACAGGGCGGATGGCTCAGAAGGAAAGAATAAAAGCTGCTTTGAAGGCTCCAGGTAGGAGGTAGTGGGAATGCCATGCCCAGCAGACATGTGGTTCCTCCTCCTGGAAGAAAGGACCTATGTGTGCTGCTGCCAGCAAGGCCTCCACAGCTCCACCTCCGTGGTGGACCCAGCAGGGGCACTTCACCATGCAGGTGTTCAATGGAGGAGTACAGGGTAAGTTAAAAGGTTTGAGGATGCTGAGGGATTGGAGACCAGGGATTGATGCAGCTTATTCAAAGATCGGTGTATCCATTTTGGCTTCAGTCAATGTCCACATCAGCTTCCTGGAGTTAGCCTTTTGACCTACCTGAGGTCAGTTTTAACTATACTTAGACCTCTGACAACTGGTTTTCCCCCGATCCTTTGCTTTTTTGTCAGTGCACAATTGTTTGTGTTTGTGTGCTTCTTTATCATTAGTGTGCATAGCTTCAAAGATCATTACCAAGTATAGAAAATGTGCCTATACTCAGGTTGCAGGGTCAGGTTTTGCCCAAGGCAAGGTGACTCAGATGTGTGCTGACATTTCTTTTGGCAGCACTGTTTTCCCATCTGCCAAGATGACAGTGTTCTGATTTTACTCCCTAAGATTGTCCTGAACACCACGTTCCCCTTCAGGCAAAGTACAAAGAAATTGTGAGCTATATTTGTGAGCTATCTTTACCAAAATTTTTATGCTTACTCCCCCATACAAAAGTTGTACTCTTTGCTGGGTGGTGGTAGTGTACGCCTTTAATCTCCGCACTCAGGAAGCAGAGGCAGGCAGATCTCTATGGGTTGCAGGCTAGCCTGGTCTACACAGCAAGTTCCAGGATACACAGTGAAACCATGAAACAAAAAGTTATACCCTTTAAGCCTACTTTGGTCACTCACATATTCTAACTTTAGTTGATCTTTATAGGAATTAGTGCTTCAGATTCTAATTAAACAGTGCTTACAGTATTCTCCAAAATGTATAAAATAGCATGACTAAGGCCTTCAGTGTAGGGGATGTTTCTCAGGTGGTAGGTGGTAGGAATGTTCATTTCAGTGTTGCTTCCTTTAAGGACCTACTTTACTGTCTGTGGTCCTGGCGACAAATCTGTGAGGTCCAGAGAGATGGAAAGCATCAGTGATGGTTCTCTTGTGGCTCTCACTGCCTGTCTTTGGAAGATTTCATGTGCATAGATGTAGCTGACTGCACAATGCTTTTACGTGATGTGCTATATGCTGTGTTCTAGGCATGGTGGGGACCTTAGGTAAGGGTAGGAGCTATGCCTGGTGACCACAGCAGTGACTCCCTGTCTTAGTCCAGTGATATGCTGAACCTGAGTCTTAAAAATCCATATCACAAGTGAGCAGATCATGTGCACATGGGGCTTAGCCCTATGCATGTGCTCTGCCTCTGAGCTGTGTGCCCAGCCTCTGTTCACTGTAAAATATGCAGGCGCTTGATAGAGAATCTTACAGGAATAAAAATAGCTGCCACTGTTGAGTAGTTGGCTCTGTCAGCTTTAGCCCTCAGTGCCGTCCTGTGAGCCAGAAGCTAAACAGTGAGTAATATACAGGAAACAAACTCATGCCCAGTTCTCATGGGCTGGAATCTACGGTTACAGCCGTGGTGAGTGCGTCAACAGCTTGACTTATCAATGTTATAAAATGTTGCTATGTCGTTGTCATTAAACCTACAAATCTGTCTTGTAGGAACAAGTGGTGATGAACTTGGACAGCAGGCTTCTGATCTTCCCTTTATATATCTGCTGTAACTTCTTGTATATATCACCAGAAAAAAGAACTGAGAGTAATCGTCACCCAGAAAACCCCGGACCCTGAGGCACTCGTCAGTGGGGAGAAGAGTACTTTGGAAACTGTGGGCAGCTTTAACTTCATGGCCTACTGCATTCACATCCAAGGTGACTAACAGCAGGCCTTATGAGCTGCATGGACTCTGCAGGAGATGGCCTCACCCTATTGCATTTCTATGCACATATGAAAAAGTATTTTAAACTAAGAAAGTACCTGTCAAACCATGTATGTTGAAGGATGTCAACTCTTGCTTTCATTTAGCAGTAGAAAATTGCTATAGGTAAATTTCTCATTTCTTTCCAACAAAATATAGATTTAATTTTGAGCTTAAATTTTGATCCTAATGTTAGTAAACTTCACTTAATTCATCTGTAAATTTGTTCCTGTTTTGTTAAGAGAATGTTTAGGACATAGCTTGAATGGCCAATCATAAATGTTCTTTCAATTGGTGCCTTTAAAGCTGTTCTTTAATTTTTTTCAGTTGCTCATTTAGGCTTCTGTTTAGTCTAATACCTTTCCAATCTCTGCTTCTTTTTAACCATCAAATCCTTTTTCATGGTTTGGGAGACTAAGCTTAGGAAATGGTTTTTTTTTTTTTTTTTTTTTTAATCTAAATTTAAGCATTTTCATATTTTTTAAACTTTAACTTTCCTACAATTTTAAATGATAACAACAACAATCAGCTTTAGGACTTGAAATAAACTTGAATAAGGGAAATGGGTTGATTCTGAGGATATTCCTTCGCCTTACGTGCGTGGTCTTGTCTGACATTCTGTGTACTTTTATGTTATGAATTATTTATGTACAGATACATTTTCAAGTTCTCTGATTGTTGGAATTTATGTTCAAATTTTAGTTGGGAATCTTGTTTCCTACTTTAGCTCAGGGCTTTATAACCTCTGAACTTGAGTGCCTTTGAGTCACATACGCAAATAGATGTCATGGTGAATGTACAGGAGGAGCTGGGAACAAAACATTCATGTTAAAACAACTTATTTTTGTCAAGAATACGATGTATGCTTGTCATGATTTGTATACGTTGGTTCCTTGTGCTTATTGCTCTTTTGAAAATAGCTTCTCATTTTCCTCTGGTCAGAGTAAGTGCTTTTGTGGTTGCTGTATGTGTTTGTATTTTTTTTAAATTGGAATCATTTTTATGTATCTGTTCAAATAATAAATGCTCATTTGGAAAAGGAATATGCTCCTGTTTAAAGTGGACTTGAAACCCTTACCTGAAACTAGGATTTGTTTGTTTGTTTGTTTGTTTGTTTGTTTTGTTTTTTTCAAAACAGGGTTTCTTTAATCTTGGCTGTCCTGGAACTCACTCTGTAAACCAGGCAGGCCTTGAACTCACAGACATCTGCCTGCTTCTGCCTTCCAAGTTCTGGATGAAAGGTGTGCACTACCATTGCTTGGCTGAAACTAAGATTCTATTTTTCTCTCGAAGTTCAGTTTTTATTCCAAGTAATTCATCCTTTGTGTTGTTCTGTTTGAGAGCAAAATTTTATTAGAGATTAAAAGAAAAAAACAACTGGGTTGGAAAAGTTAAATCTCAGCAGCTTCTAGGAAAAGGGACCTAGAGAAATGAGAGACGTGTAAGACACTCTGAGTTAGAGGTCACAAGGCAGGGAGGCTCAGCTGTGAAAGTCCGCAGGAAAGAGAATGCCTGCATTGGCAGAGCTAGCAGGCTTCAGAATTGCCTCATGGAAAAAAAAACACCATTACGAAATGTGGAAAAGAAAGGGTTAGGCTGTCTGAGCTCTCGCTTGGAAAGCGCACAGGCTTACTTCTTAGGATCATAAGCACTTGCTCCCACCTGCTTTTAGTTTTGAATTACTGGTGGGCTTTTTTTCCTGGTAATAGATGGTAAATTCACAAATTATCCTTGTCTTGGCAGAATTCAGCTGCTTTGAATGCCTTCTTCCTCCTAGAATTGTCATATGAAGGTGTCTAAAGCAGTGGTTGGGTCCGAGAGATGCTGCATTTCTGAACTGGCTCCAGCATCATCTGTCAGCAGCAGAAAAGCTCCTTTCCTGTTTATATATGAGAAACAAAGCACACACCCGTAATCCCTGCATGCAGGAGGCTGAGGCAGGAGAGTCACAAGATTGTGAACAGCCTGGGCTGCATGGCAAGACCCTGCTTTATAACAAAGCAATTATATTCAAATATATTTTTATAAATCTTGGAAATTAAAGTGTGAATGAATATATTAACAAGGAAGATTACCTGCTTCCTTTCACTTCAGTCACTGGTCAGGTTGGAAGTCGGTTAGCAAGCTCTCCTGCTCAGGCTGCTGATGTCCTCCATAGATGAGGTAGTGATTCTTCTGTCATTTGAGAGACTGGTCACTGTCAGCTTATACTGTATGGGCAGTGTCAGGTGATTGGAGGCTATCGTGAGCGAGGGCTTTGTGCTTGTCAGCTCTTCAGTATAGCCTCTGCCAAGTTCTCTTTGTGAGTTTTGTTTTTTATTGAATGTCATTGCTGGAAAGCTAACCACTCACATTAATTTGGCTTGGTCCATAGCAAGATGGGTAAACTGAAATGAAAACAGCAGTAGTCACCAACTTTTTTGGGTTAGATTTTCTTTACATAGGCCCTCACTATGTGGTCAAGGCTAGTCTCAAACTCAAGATCCTTCTGCCTCAGTTTTTTCAATGTTCCTACCTCCCAAGTGCTGAGGTTAAGGCAACCCCTACCCTACCCAGTACACAGTGGAAATTTATTCCCTTATGCAGTAATATTGATAAGTGTGATGTGGAAGAGGTGACTAAGCCCTTTGTGAGCCAGTGCAGCTGTTTCTAGAATGGCGTCCTACAGTCTCCTTTGTTGTTCTCAAAGCACATGATGCATTCTGGCACCTTGATCCCACGGCCTCCAGTACAGCAAAAAAACTGCTTTTCAATGTCAGTTACCCAGTCTCTGGCATTATATTCAACAGACTGAGAGACACACCTACATATATTTCCTTACCTCCAATATGTTTTTCTTTTCTTTTTCTCGTTTATTTATTTTACATCCTTGTAGCCCCTTATCTCCTCCCCTTCCAGTTCCACCCTCTCCCTCCCTTTTCCTCAGAAAAGGGAAGCTCCCTTCCCACCTACCTCAGCTCATCAACTTGTATCAGGACTGAATGTGTCTTCTTCCCCTGTGGCCTGTCAAGGTAGTCTGCCAGGGGAAAGTGATCTAAAAGTGAGTCCATGTCTGATGCATTCCCCACTTCCTTTACTAGAGTACCCACTTGAAGCCTAAACTTCCCATCTGCTACGTCTTTGTAGGGGGCATAGGTTCAGTTCATGCATGGTCCTTTGTTGATGCTTCAGTCTCTGCAAGCTCCTCTGGGCCCTGGTTAATTGGCTCTGTTGTTTTTCTTGTGGAGCTCCTGTCACTTCCGGGTCCTTTTCTCTTTCCTCCCACTATTTCACAAGACTCCCTACGCATCCCCCAGTGTTTGGCTGAGTGTCAGCATCTGTTTTGAGGAGATGCTGGGTAGAGCCTCTCAGAGAACAACTCTGTCAGGCTCCTGTCTGCAAGCTTAGCAGAGAATTATAGTGTCAGGGGTTGACTGTTCTCTAATAAGATAGGCCTTTGCTTGGGTCAAGCATCTGTTGGGCATTCCCTCAGTCTCTGCTCTATCTGCTCTATCTTTATCCCTGCACATCTCATAGGCAGAGTAAATTTTGGGTCAAAGTTTCTGTGGTCAGGTTGGTATTGCCATGTTTTCTTTTAATTGGTCTCTGTGTTACCTCAAATTGATCTCTGAAAAACCTCAGATCGACTTCTGTCCCACCCCTAAAACTCTGCAGAGGCTCCACTGTGCCTTCAGGTACCCTGCGTCTCATCTCCACATCTCTCCCTTACCTCTTGCTCTCCCCCTCCCTCCACTCCATCCCAGCAGCACATTTCCCCTTGTTTTCTTGCTGATTTCTGCTCACATCATTTCCTCTGGAAGCTCTTCTGCATGACTTTCCCCCTCAGCAGGAAAGTGAGGTGCTCGTCATTTGGGCCTTCTGCTGTCTTGTTTCACATGGCTACACTTCTGTGGTGCTTCCCTGTCTGTGTCCTCAGACCTACTCAAATGCAAGTGCCTTTTCTCTCTGTTCTGTCCTTTGATACATAGATACACAATAGATGTGAATAGTGTAACTAGAACTTGTGATGTTTTAGTTTCTGCATTGCTCTAGCCAACCACCGTGAAGTTCAGTCCTTTGACATGTGTTTATACACAGACCAGCCAGTCCAAAACTCACTTCCCCAACCACTTCTTTTAGTTTTTCAAAGGTTAATTTATATGTATGAATGTTTTCCCTTTAGGTATGTGTGTGCACAGTGATGAATGATTATGAACCACCATGTGGGAACTTGTTCCCAGGTTCTCTGAAAGAGCAACAAATGTTCTTTAGTGCTCAGCCATCACTCCAGCCTCTCTCTCTCTCTCTCTCTCTCTCTCTCTAAACCAACCATCAAGCCAGGCCAGGGTTTCCTGCTCCAATCACCCCTAGACTAGGTACCAGATGACACAAATCGCCTCTCCCATGGCCTACTGTGATGATTCCAAAACTAGCCTTCTATTGAATGACTTTGGGGAAACGTAATGGTTAGCGTTGATTGATTGCTACCTCGATGGGATTTAGAATCACCATGGAGACCAATGTCAGTGTGTCTCTTTGTAGGAGATTCTATCTCTATAGCTCCATGAGTTTGAGGTGTGACCTATCCTAAATAAAGGATGAGTTAGGGTCTTGGACTTCACAAAAAGGAGAAAGGCTGAACACAAGCATTCATCGCTCCCTGCTTCCTGGCTACAGATGTGGCTGTAAGCAGCCACCTCAGGATCCTGTTTCTGTGCCTTACCTGCCATAATGGGCTCTGCAGTGGAACTGTGAGCCAAAATAGTCCCTTCCTTCTGTAAGTTGCTTTTCCTAGGCATTTTGTCACAGCAGCAAACAACAACAAACTAATACGATAAATACAGACGTAAGCTGAGCAAATAGTTCAGCATAGATAACACAGCACTGACAACAGACTATACAAAAATTCTACCTACATCTACCTTGGTGGACCCCATTGGGTTTATTGAGGTTACTTGCAAGAACATGGGTGACAGCTCATGAAAATTCTGTATCCCTGGAAGCTCCTGCACAACTCACAGTCATCACCCGGGAGACTGAGGAGGACTGCCTCCAGTTGAATGCCAGCCTGAGCTACATACTCAGTTCCACGTTAGCCTGGCCTAGAGTGAGGACAGAAAATGCCCAATTAGAAAAATCATAACTCTACAATTCATCATCATAGCTGATGATGAAATTGCCTCTGCTTTCCTGGAAGAGCCAAAACTGCAACCCAGCAGGAATGGGAAGGAGCTGGACTACACAGACAGCAAGCAGTGAATCGTGTGGGACAGCAGCCACTACCCAGAGTCCTCACCAAATGGCCAGTGTTAGAGCCTTCCATTGGGCTTCCCAGCCTACAAAGCTGTAAGGAACACATTTCTGTTTCTAAGCCACCTCTCAACAGCCTGGAAGGACTACGGCAGTTCCAAAGATGGCCTATGTTATCACCCTAAGGTGTCATGCCTTTGCATTCTGCATTTAAATCTAATCCTGAGTTAATGTCCAGTGGGCAAGGTTTAGGTCAAGATTCACCAAATCTTTCAGTAAGTTTTGCGAAACACCTTTTCTACATTTATTAAAATGGTTTTGGGTTTTCTTTTTCCTGTTTTTCTGATGAATTTAAACTGAAGGTGGTTTTTTGCTTGGTTTGGTTTACGTTTGTGGTTTTTTTTTTAGATAGAAAAAGACAAATGCAGGCATCTTACTAGTGTTCCTCTTCTGCTCAGTTATTCTGCATCGTTCCCTGCTATGCCGGTGGTATTGGTATTGTAATAAATTACCACAGACATGTTTGCCTGAAGCAACAGAAATGTATTCTCTCACAGCTCGAGTCCAGAACAGTTTCAGTGGCTGAGACCAGGGGTCATCTTTGTTCCCTTTGCAGCTCCCTGCCTCTTGTAGCTTCTGTTGCTGGCATTCTGGTGTCAGTCCCTCTGCCTCTGGAGTCCGGGACCCTGCTTCCCATAGCAACCTTCCTCTGCCTTTCTACAGATCTTTGAGGGGGCACTCAGGGCTCCCCTGGGTCATTGAGGGCAGTCGCCTCATATGCACACCCTTACTTACATAGGGTAACATCCACAGG